AAAGAGAGGAGCTAAGGGGCTGGCTCCAGCTGGGAGCTAGGTACTCCCTCCCCCCAGCACCCTCGCCTGGACAGAGAGAGCTGCAGACTTCACACCAATGAGACTGGGCAGCTGAGCCAGGGCCGAGGGGGTTCAAGCCTCCTAAATCAGCGGTCCCCAACCTTTTTGGTGCCAGGGACTGGTTCTGTGGAAGACAATTTTTCTACAGACCGACGGGGCAGGGTGGGGGGCGGGAATATTAATTCAGGTGGTCATGCGAACAGTGGGGGGTATGGTTCAGGCGGTAATGTGAGCGATGGAGAGCATCGCGGCAGATGAGGCTTCACTCGCCCACCGCTCACCTCCTGCTGTGCTGCCCAGTTCCTAACAAGCCGCGGACCTGTACCGTGGGTTGGGGACCCCTGTTCTAAATCACTCCCTCCTTTGCCATCCTCTAACCCCATACCTGGCCTGGGAATTCTGGACCACGCGGGGGTCTCGTTTATTCCACCCAGTTGACTGTACAAGGGCCTGTGGAGGGTGCTGGTGGGGTGGGCTGGGGGGAGACAGAGGTTAACAGAAGATCTGGTCTCTGCCCCAGTTGGTATAGCCTTCTGCAGGACCCCGAAATGGGCATGAGTGAATGCCTAGGAAGACCTGCTCCCAGGGCTCCATCTAGGTGAGGCAGTAACTAACAGACACAGACAACCATTTTACTTGGCCAACAGTGATCAGGAGAAAGGGACAGAGAAACTTATGTGGCCTCCCAGGAGAAAATACTTCCAGCTGAGGGATCAAGTAAGGCTCCTGGTGGAGGTGGCATTTGGGTGAAGCTGCAAAGAATAAATACTTGGACCAGTGGTGTTGGGAGAACGCATCCTAAGGCAGGGTGGCAAGAGAGGTGGCTGTAGGAGATAGCCCGAGGAAAGGAAGGATTAGGAGATCAGGTCAGGAAGGCTGTCTTCTGCTGCATGGGCACAGGGAGGCTGGCACCAGCAGGAAAGAAGGCTGGATGAGAGATGGGAGGCCTGGGTCCTCATTCCAGCCCAGTTACTGACCCACTGTGTGATTTATCTCTGGGAGGTGCACAGTAGGCATCTATGCCTATGTATTAGATACCCAGTAGTGAAGTGGTGTGGCCCCAAGTCTCTCAGTTGCTGCTGTCAGAGCACGATTCTAGGAGGCCCAGTTCCAGAGTGCCCCTGACCCTCAGAGTCAGGCTGTCCTCCCTCCCTCCGGGGTGCCTTCACTGGAGGTCTCCCAGACATACCTGTCACAGGTGGCCAGAGGAACCTACCTCGGAGCAAGTACAGCGCAGGCAGTACATCAGGCCCTGGGGCTCCAGGTAGGGGTGCCAGCTCTCGCCGGGGGAATACCTCTTCCCGTGGAAAAGGCAGAACATGTCTGGGCCTGGCAAACCAACCAGTGCTTTATCAGTCCCAGGAGGCTCCAACCTGAAGTCCCTGCCTCATCCCTCCTTCTTTCTGGCTCTAGGAAGGATGTCATCTGGACCACTCAAGTGAAAGAGAATCCACAGGATGTGCTCTCCTAGTCAGAGGGCCAGAATGTCTGAGTTTGAATATCAGCTTGACCACACACTTGCTGTGTGACTTTGGGCATGTCACTGTCCCTCTCTGAGCCTTAACACTTCTCTCACAGCGTGGTTAGGGGATTAAGCAGTGAACATGCTTTACAGATTTAAAGTGTGGTGTAAATGTTAGTTATTATAATTAGATGAATAACCTGAGGCCCAGAGAGGCCAAACTACACCTCGAAAAACACACAGTAAGTCAGTCATCAAGCAGGGATGACAGCCAAAGTCTCTTGACTCACAAGGCAGTACTCCTTCTGCTCTCTAATCACACCTGCTTCCTTTTCCTTTGTCCCATTTTGCTTATTTATTTACTACATCTCTGCACCCTCCCCTCCCTTGCCCTCTGCTGCTTCCCTGCCTACATGCGCGCGCGTGCGCACACACACACACACCTTCTCTGGGCCATGTGACCTATCTTTCGAATAAAGCCACTGACAGCAGCTTTCTTGCTTCATACTCTACCGTTTCTCTATATCGCATTGAGCTCTGATGGAAAGTGCTTGAATTGGGAAAACAAAGTGCTGCCTAGTGAAAGGTTGTTAGGAAACTGACTTTTAAATATCCTTAAAAATAGTCATTGGTACTGTGACTGCACATCACCTGATTACTTTTGTAATCTGTGTATCAGTAGTTAATAGGTAGATGAATGCTTCTAAGAATGACTAAAATAGTTTATTTCCGGGGCTTCCCTGGTGGCGCAGTGGTTGAGAGTCTGCCTGCCAATGCAGGGGACACGGGTTCGAGCCCTGGTCTGGGAAGATCCCACATGCCATGGAGCAACTGGGCCCGTGAGCCACAGTTACTGAGCCTGCGCGTCTGGAGCCTGTGCTCCGCAACAACAGAGGCCGCGATAGTGAGAGGCGTGCGCACCGCGATGAAGAGTGACCCCCACTTGCCACAACTAGAGAAAGCCCTCGCACAGAAACGAAGACCCAACACAGCCATAAATAAATAAATAAATAAATACATTGTGTATTATTAAAAAAAAAAAAAAAAAATAGTTTATTTCCTTATGTGGGTTAGATATCTCTCCTGCAATCCTTCTTTCTTGAGACCTCCACCCCTTATGTCCTCCCACAGCCCATCAATTGCCCAGTCTTTCAAGCTCTGTCTAGAACACTCATGTCCTCACCTCTCACCAGCTCAGCACCTAGCCCCAGGTCAGGGCTCCAGGTCAGGCGTTGAGGCCCCCTTGCTGTGTTCCTCTGCCTCTGGCCCTATCCTTGCCAACCCTCCTCCATACAGGTACCTGATGATTTTTACAACCCAGAAGGGATGCTATCATTCCTACAAAAACCTTTCCATTATCCAAAGAATAATCTAAGCTCTTTCAGGGAGAAACTGGGAGGCCCAGCACAAGCTAAGTATCCATAAAGACGTGTTGAATTAAATGAGATTGAAATTTGGAGAAAGGAACCAACATTTGTTGATGATATTCTATTTACGTAAATTACTTAATTATCTTATTAACATCAATGTTTTGAGAATTAAATTGAATAATGCTTGGAAAGTGCTTACTTAGCCCCGTTCCTGATGCTTAGTTGAATGGTATTATGATAATTATGGTAACGATGACCCTGCAAGATGGACATTATTATCTGTTCAAGATTCAAGAGGATAAAGTCAGTTTTGCAGCATCAGTGGGATCGTTACCATGATTATAAGAAAACTAGATGAGAAAACTGAGGATCACAAAGACTGAGTGACTTACCTGAGGCCACCCACCTATTGATTTGAACCCAGGACCCCAGGTTCCCAAGCGGAGATCCCTTTAGTTCACCTCACCTGACATGGCTTTTTGCTCAAACTCAGGGCCTAGAGGTTTATTCTCTCGGTCCCCCGGGCCACCATCCCCCATTCGCTATTTTTTTCTCTGGGTCCCCTATTGGTCTAGAATCTAGAGATTGCCTTTCGTGCCTCCTCCTGCACACTTTCTAGAGTCTCACACTTTCTGAATCATTCTTTTAGATGTTTAAACTCACAGAATCACAGAGCATCGAAAGCAGTACAGTAGCAAGGGCAGCTCACCCGTGAGGCCAGAGTCCCCTCTCCGTGTTGGGGATGGCCTGGAGCGGAGGACAGGAGCTAAGGGCCACTGCGAACCTTTAGAAAGTTTCCTTTGTGAGAAGCTGAGACCAGCCTCCCTGGGTCCCTGCACTGCTTCTGCTCTGCCTCTTGGGCCTCCCCAAAACAAGGATTTGAGGCCGCGGTCGTGATGCCCTCAGAGTCTGTGCTTCAGTGGCCACTGGGGCGGCCAAGGCTTGGTTTGCTCCCCACCCACTCTCCAGCCCCGCATGATTAGAGGGGGGATCAGACAGCAGATCCCGTTCCCAGCAAGGCCCCGGCTGGCCCGTATCAAATGAGCTGTGTTTATCTCTCAGCCGCTGCTGGCAGAGAGGGCAGGACACAGACCCAGCTGGGGTGCTCGGCAGAGCCAGCCCAATGCTCCGAGGATTGAATAATGTCTTTCTTCCTCAGTCCCTCCCCCACCAGAGAAGGGAGCGATTGCAACACCGCCGCGGCCTTACGTCTGAGCCTTGCTGCTGAAGAAAACCTGTCCCACCTTCTCTGGGGCGGCCCTGTAGCCCGGCCCCTGTGCCAGTTGGCAACCCCTCCCCCTCTCCGCCGGCTCAGAGCATGAAGACAGAGAGAATGTCTCAGCCCTGGCCCGGGACGGACCTGGCAGCAGCTAAGAATGCGGAGGCCTGGCAAGCCGTCCCCCAACCCCAGGAGTCCCAGGCCCACCACGCCCTCCAAGGTGAGAAGCACGGCCCAGAGCTCCCTCTTTTTCTAGGGAGGTGAGTGCCCAAGGCCACGCCAAAACCAGGCAGGAGGAAGAACTGCCAAGACCTCAGGCTGCCTCCGTCCCCACGGTCCTGGCACTTGCCCCGTCCTTGCATGTGGCTGGTAGAAGGGGCTGTAGCTCCTTATGCCACGGAATCACTGTGTGATGTTGAGGAAGACCCTTTCTTTCCTTCTCTGAGCCTCAGTTTCCCATCTGCAAAATAAGGGGTGGGGGTGAACTTGGATCTTCACGGGTTTACTGTACAGATAGTTTCTGAATCCATGATTTCAAAATTCTAAGATTCCAAGGTTCTAGGTTTCTAAGATTCTACATTTCATTAGAACACAAAGCTTCTAGAGTTGTAGAATGTTGTGCTTCTAAGATTCGATCATTTCAAGCTTCCATGATTTCGGATGTGTTGATGGTCCCATACACCTAGGCTCTCAGGGGCTCCAAGGTGGGCTAGGATGAGGTTCAGGCAGCCAGTGCAGCCGATCCTGATGACATGGAGAAGGAGGCAAAGTCTGTTTCTCATATGCCCTCCCTTCCCATCCACTCTCTGTTGGTCCTCTGTGGCCTTCCCACTCCAGCCCTGGCCTGAGGCCTGCCCTGCTTCTCTCCACCTCGCTACCATATCTCATCCCACCCATCATCTCTTTCTCCAACTCAGGGGCCAACTGCGGCTTCCCTCGGGGGACTTTCGGAGTTAACGTGCCCCGCCAGTGATGTCTAACCCAGGAAAAAGACATTAGTGGAGGAAGTTTTTGTTTGTGGAGGACGATTGGCCCTGTTCCAGGCTTTAGAGAGACAAAGAAGAATTAAAGTGGGACAGGTCTCACACCCCTCAAAACCCCTCACCCAGTGTGTATGTAGTTCCCAAACTCTGGCTTCAGAGTCCAATAGGCTGGGGTTTAAACTGGATTTGGCTTTTATCTGCAGCCTGCATTTAGACAAGCTATTTAAACATTCCAGGCCTCAGTTTCCATATCTGTTCAATGAGATTAGTAATAATCTTTGGGGGTTATTGCAGAATTAAGTCAAATAATATGTGTAATATGCCTAATGCCTGCCACATATTAGATGCTCAATTAAATGGTAGGTTAAAAACAAACAGACAAAAAGCAGACCTGGGTGCTGACTCCAAACTTCCCTAACAGTCCATTTCTCATGGTGTTCCTTCTACTCCCAGAATTCTATTAGGGCATGAACATCATGGTGCCTGCCATTAGGGTCAAATCTCCCAGGTCTCAAGCTCACCAACCTTGCTTCCTGTGGTTCCCTGCACTCTCCTAGCTCCACTCACAAGCCAGACTCCCTCAACACCACTTCTACCTACACAGATCTGGGCTGGGATATGGCCATGATAGTGGTCAGCAAGGCTGGAGGAGAAAATGGGAAGGCAGGGATGAGAGGCCAGAGATCAGGCTGGAGAAAGAAGCAGAGGCTCACGAAGGGCCTTGAGATCCCCAAGGGCAAAGGAAAGCCATAGAAAGGCCTTAAACTGGGGTGTGCCTATGGTCAGGTTTTCATTTTAGAATCAACACTGTGGCTGCAGGAATGGAGAGTGGATTGGAGAGCAAGACTGGAGGCAGAGAGACCAGGGAGAGGCTGTTACAGTCGTCTGTTTTGAGATAATGCTGGCCTGGACCAAGGCAGGAGCAGTGCTGATTGGCAAAAGTACAGATTTGAGGAACACTAAGTAGGTACAGTAGGTAGGCTTTCAGACAGACTGGATGTGGGTGGAGAGGGTGAAAGGGCAGTCAAGGATGGGATTGAGGTTTCAGGCCTGAATAACCAGGTGAATGTGGGGTTCTTAGCACAACAGGCAGTAAATGTTATTGTCATTAGTTTTGATGTATTATTATCATTAGTAATAGTAACATTAGTTCCTGCTATTCATTCACTGATTGAGCATTTTACGTATCAAGTCATACATGTCCATGGGCCTCGTACGTAACTAAATAAGACACCCTCCCCACCCTCAAGGAGCTTACAGCCTAATGAAGAAGACAGATAGATATGATACACAGA